ATGTAATACATTACATTTTAATTAAAGTGATCGATTGTTTACAAATGTAATGTTGGTTTTACTGGCTAATATGTCTAGCTATAAGACACATGTCTAATCAGTGTGTTTGAGTATGTGTAGTTTGTAGTTATTTGTACTAGAATGTCTTGGTTGCTTTAAATCGTGCTGCAAAAATTTTCTCTCAAGCAAATAGCAAGCCTGATATATTCAGAGTAAGGAGCGGACGTTATTATCTGCAGGGTGACTCAGCACTCTTAACAGCAGAGAACATGATGCTGTTGAGAGAGAGACAGAGAGAGAGAGAGAGAGTCAGTACGTGCATGTTTCGCCAAGCTGTAAGTGTTGACAGTTTAGAGTTGTGCTCACATCTTTATGATTCCCTCCCGCCTGTCATTTTTGTGACAAAAAGCGACACACTAATGTGAGATTTTCGTCGCAGCTTTCCACCAAACACTGCACAACAACATGCTGCTCACGTCTGAAAAAGAGGGCCTAGTCTGAGAACTGACATGAAAAATATAGCTCACACACTGCAAAATGAATTTTAGGGAACTGCACTGGCACTGCATCACGAACTAAGACAATTTAAGTAAGGGTAATTCCATGCAGATGCCAACATTACAATGGGAAAATAAAGTTGTGAGCAAAGGGAAACTTTGCTCCACTTTAGTCTATATTTAAACTGTTTTGCTGAAATTTAAGAAAGTTTAATCATTTAACCAAATATGAGGAGTGCTTCGACACAAAACCAGATGTTGCCTTGGTTCAAAAGAGGGAACTAGAGTGCCATTTTTCCTCAGTGTCTTCAATAAGGTTAAGGATGGAGTCAGGTTGGAGAGGATTCTTGGCTTATTCCTAACTCCTACTTCACTTGTCTAATATAACAGATGCTCACATAGTTATGCCATATCTATTCTAGTCTGTGCTAAATATTTCAGACACATCACACACAAAATTTCACATCAATAATTTTAGATTATAATTCTATACCAAAGCAGCAAATATTAAAAACTATACTATCTACATAACCTTTACACATACTGTAGTGTATACTATTTATTTTTCTGTAAAGATCCTGAAAATTGACAGCATTGAATCCAATATGCCAGTAAAATGTCCTTTATATTTATTATGTATGTGAATATCATAATATTTGTTTGCATTTGACATAATGAAATGTGTATGAAATGTACACTGGTTTATTGATGTTAAAATTGTGCACACACGTTGCAAATCAATATGAGTTTAAATTTCATGGCCATAAAGCTGGAATTGCCTGTTTTTGTCTTGTTGCCTGCATGAATCCATGGAATGATGGATTGGAATGGAAAGCCGAGTGCTCACAATCTAGCAATGCTTTACAATAGAGCTCTGTCAGGCTCTCAGAAAAGCCTATTCTCTCTTTATAGACCATGAGATGGAAACAATTACACATATTAATAGGACCATGGAGAGGTCTGGGTAAGCCATCCAACAATATTTTGAACAAACTAATTGTTCTGTGGGTCTGGAGGGAGTGAAATATAGAATGACGTAAGAATATTAACCTATGCTTAGTCATTCCCTGGGAATGGACGACCAGCACGATTGCAAAGTTTGTACCACAGCCGTCTGGGGCCAGGAGTCCAACAGAGCAAAACTGTGATGGCATTACTCTCTCTCCTGTCAATCAGAAGGACAGTCTGTGAGCTCATGTTTGTGGAAGAGAGTGCACTTAACGCTTTCCTCCGAGTGTGTTCAGCTGCGCTGTGACGTAGCTTGTGCTGCAGTTTGAAAAGAGGTAGCTAGCTTTATGTATCTTAAAGAAAACACGTGCTAGCCTTTACATTCCCCCCTTCCCCCCACCCCAGTTGCTAGGGAAAGTTAGCTAGTCAGTGGGAATTGGCAAATGACCAAAAGAAATTTTGTACCTTTGATTAAATTTTCATTCTGTTGTAGTTACTTATGATACATGCTAGAGTTCATGTGTTTTGTCATTTATCATGTAGGTACTTTCTGATTTGAGTAACGAATTTGCAGAAAATAGTTACTAATTCTCAGCTCAGCCATTTTTGTGTAGCTTGACAAATTTGGCAGGAACAATGAGGAAGCTGAGGCTACAGTGGGCACAGGATTTCCACAACTGGCCAGTTGAAGATTGGAACAAGATCAGACAATGTTTTTCCAATCTTTCGGTGAGCCTGTGACCACTGTAAGCTCTGATTCCTGTTCATGGCTGACAGGAGTGGAACCCGATGTGTTGTTCTGCTTTTGTAGCCCATCCACCTCAAGGTTTGATGTGTTGTGTGTTCTGACATGCTTTTCTCCTCATCACGGTTGTAAAGAGTGCTTATTTGGGTTACTGTAGCCTTCCTGTCAGCTCAAACCAGATCTGGCCATTCTCCTCTGACTTTTTATCACCAAGGCATTGTGCATTGTGTTGATGCCACATGGGCAGGTGTACAGGTATTCCTTTTAAAGTGGCAAGTGAGTGAGTGTGTGTGTGTAGACAGACAGACAGACAGATAGATAGATAGATAGATAGATAGATAGATAGATAGATTTAGATGTGTGTGTGTGTGTTAACATTATCTTTTACATAAAACAGGTCACTGACCATAGCAGTGAAAATGCACGTGTTGTTGCATTCATATCACTGTTTTAGAGTCTTGTAGTCATTTAATGCAGAATTAGCCAACAAGCTTTTTCACTCTGTGGCAATGTGTGAAAACGTGAGAAATGCAGGGGTCAGTATGAAGAGAATAACTGGTCCATATGGAACCCAGATAGGCTATGAAGCATTTACAGTATTCTATTTTGAGTATATCACAGACGGCAAAGAATATTTCTCTGAGGTTGTCACTATGGTTACGGGCATTATGAGGTAGTCTGAGATGAGAGCTGACTCCAACACTGTCCCATATAGTGCCCTAAACCCTGCGGTCCTCCTCCAAGGCTGCACTTTGGTGATGAAGACAAAGTGAAAATGTCTCACGAGCATGAATTTCAGAAATGGCCTTTTAGGACACAGCATCCGTTAGCTAAGATCATAACAGTTTCAGTCACTCTTGTTAATAAAATAAGACTCCTGTATCATTCCTAAACACTGACTGTATGAACATTCATGAACCTAGCTAGCTATGCTATATATAGCTAACAAACTACTAGGCTGCAGCTTTAGGTTTTCCTTTTTAAACCAAACTAAGCCCACATTTTACAGTAGCTCTTTACAATCTCACATGGGCTCAGCTTTAGCCCTGTCATTCACAAACAGCCACTAGGAAAATAAATCTGCATTTTCTGCCGCAGTAGAGGTGGCCAACAATTTATTTCCCACTCATCTTCTGTGTGTACGAATAAAAATCACACGATGGAAGCAACAGTGCCTCCAGAAAGTATTCAACCCCGAGAGATTATTTCTTGCCAGATTGCAGCATCAAATTTAAACATAGCAGAATGGGATTTTTCTGCATCGTTTGAAGTGACTCTCTACAGAAATAAAATTAAACAAAGTATTTAGATGTCCTCAGAATTATTTGAAAATAAAAACATCTAAAATCTGCTCAATTGATAAGTATTCACCACTTCTGCAGCAATTACAGATTTGAGTTGTGTCAGATGTGTCTCTCTGAGCTTTGGACATTTTTATTTTGGCATTTTCCTCCATTCCTCAATGCAAATTTTCTAAAATTATCTCAAATTAAATAGAAAATGTTGGCAGACAGCAATTTTCAGGTCATGCCACAGATTTTCAATTGGATTTAAGTTTGATTCGGCCATTCCAAAACATGAACCTTCTCTTTTTCAAGCCATTTCTATGAAGTTTTTGCACTTTGTGCTTTGGCTCATTGTCCTGTTGGAACATATACAGTATTTTCACTCTAAATACACACAATCTTTTTCCAAAAGCTCTCAGAATTTCTAATATGGTCTTTCTCAGAAGTGGCTTCCTTTTGGCCACTCTGCCATAGAGGCTGGATCTGTGAAGAGGTGATGATATTGTTGAGGTCTGCATAGGTTCTCTAATTTCAGCCAGTGAGCTCTGTAACTCCTTAGCTGGATTCTTGTACACTTCTCTGACAATTGCCCTTCTTGCCCAAGCACTCAGTTTGGCCAGATCTTGGTAGTGTTTTTTTTTTTTTCCTACTTTGTTCTAATGGATTTCACAGTGCTCCTAGGAAGGTTCAAAGCTTTGCCTATGTTTTAATCATCTTCACCATCTTTTTTCCTCCTAACAGCTTCATCTCGAAGCTTCACAGGCAGTTCCTTGGTCTTCATGACAGCAGGACTGATCTGATCTGACATTTTAGCTGAGACCTCCCAAAGTCAGAGATATTTATTGTATAAGCGTACAATTGGACACAAGTGGATTTAAAATTAACACAGGTGTACCCTGTTTAACATATTTAGTGTGAGCGCTTGAAAATTAAATACTAGTCCTAATTTAAATTGCTAAAAGAAAGGGGGCTGAATACTTATCATTATGCAGTTTCTAGACTTTTTATTTCTGAAATAATTCTGAGGACACCTAAATACATTAATTTTATTTCTGTAGAGAGTCACTTCAGAAAGAACAGAAAAATCCCATTCTAATATACTTTTACTTAATAAGAGAAATAATCATTGGGGTGGTGAATACTTTCTGGAGGCACTGTATATGTTGAAGTTGAATCGAAAGTGACAAATATAAGAAACGGCAGCATATGTTAAAAAGTGGAACCACTATATAATAAGCATATGTAATTGGTGTGTTAGGAAGGAATTCACTCCTCTCCAATGTTTGGCCCCAGTTGTTCCTCCCATGCACTCAGGTGGTCCAATCAGGCAATTCGCATGTGGCCACATTACATTTGTAGCGCTGGTGGTCATGCTTCATCCAACAACATCAAAAGACTAGTCACTAGTCACTTTTGAACTACCTGGCCACAGTGTTAATACAAGTGGTCAGTGGTTTGGGCGTTTTGTAAAAGTTATATTAAGTTTTATTAATTAAAAGTTGATATTAAATTGTGCAGACTGGGTCCCTGGAGGACTAGTGGTTAGGCCACGGCGCCCTCACCGCTGCGGCCTGGGTTCGATTCCTGGCCAGGGAACCGACCCCAGCCACTGTGGCACAAGACAATGCACTTCCAGTGCCAGTCCCAAGCCTGCATAAAATTGGGGAGGTTTGCATCAGGAAGGGGATCTGGTGTAAAAACTGTGCCAAATCAAATATGTGGACCAATGATCCGCTGTGGCGATCCCTAACAGGAGCAGCTGAAAGAACAACAACGACATTAAATTGTGCAGACTGGCCACACGAGGTGGTCTCTTCTCATACATACACTTTCTGTTACCATTCCTAACATACTGTAAGCTCGTTACTATATGAATGTAGCTATTTTGTATTTATGGCAATATAAGGTATGCAATAATAATTTAGCACCTTGGTTTTTAATACTGCTTCATTGAAGGAATACTGGATGACATTATGTTTTAAAACAGACGATCTTGATGTTCTACTTTAAAATAGTGTATAGGGTTTGGAAAGTAGCAGATTTTGAATTTAATGGCATACATTCAGCCACCAGATGCCATTTTAATAAAAACTTTATGATTGGACAGAATTGCTATATAAAGATAATATTAAGAAAGCACCCAACAAATAAATCACCTGACGTGAGCTTGAAACTCCTGTCTGCTGGACATGTTATAGAAACACAAAATGTATAGCTACAATACAGGGACATTGTTCAATTCAATTCAATTTATTTTATTTGTATAGTGCTTTTAACAATGGACATTGTCACAAAGCAGTTTTACAGAAATAAATAGATTCAAATTAAATTAAACCAAAATAAATTGTAGATATGTGAATTTATCCCTTGTTGTCACTATATTTGAGTTTATAGCCTAGTGCACTGTTGCCAAGTTCATTAGAGCTGTGTGTATGGGAGGACCATACACTGACAGCTTCCACCTCATGGTTTATTTCAGTTTGTACTTTCCTCTCTGTGGTTCGGGTGTTGAAAGCACATGATTAGCTGAGCAAAAGCTGCCCAAAATGCCATTCAGGGAGATGACGGTATGAGTAAAGCTTTTATCAATCAATCTAAGCACCCTACAGTTTAATTACAAAATGCTGTTTGATGGCTAATTATAAACACTTTCTTTGACTTTTGGTAGTGGCTAGACTTTTGAGGGCTGGTTTTGAAGTGACATTGGGTTGCTTTCGGCAACCCTGCTACTGACAAAATGTGATCACATATGGTCAGTGGAGAGGCATTCAAGACACGAAAATACCAGATGTGAGCAGGTGTGAATGTTCAGACTGTCTCGGTTGTGCCCTTGTGATCTGATCACCTGAGACGGATGTTAATACCAAATCCGAACTGAGCCACAGCTTCTTTAGACTTAAAGCTTTAGACAAAAATCAAAAGGTTTTTTGATTTTAAAGGTTCCTACTACACGTTAATGCTATTTCAAGCAGAAAATGGAAAACTGTATACATTTGTCATTTTAAATTTGTCTTTTTTTAATGAACAGATATTATTTCATGTTGAAGATGGAAGTGCACAGGTAGAACATAAAGAGATAAAGAACTACTCTCCCTATTAATTTTGCCTCTATTTTTACACTAAAGGAAAGAGTGAATGTGTTGGTATGGTTGATTGAATATGCTGCTGCATGTTCTTTTGCGTATGATAATAAAACCACAAAAACAGGACATCTGTCTGAGGTAAATGCTATTATCACTGTTATTGCTTTGGGCAGTAGAGAGCGGCTGGCAGTAACTATCCAGAGGAGGCTGGGAGGGGGAAGCAGTGCCAACACTGCCATCTTCAGAAGCTAAAAGCTTTAACTTCAAACTGGCTGATTGGAAATGAGCTAAGGTGCCTCAGTCTGCCCAAACACCAGGAAAGCAGACAGCGGTTGCCAAGCAGCTCCCTCATATGCCATCTCCCTGCATTTCCTTCAACTTCTAACCCCCCATCCCCTCACCCCCACCCATGCCCTGTATACAGAGAGGCAACAGCTCCCCTCACAGGGCCTGAAGAGTATTTTATTTTCCCTCACCACCTCTAGAATCCAGTTGTGATGGCTAGAACCTGTGATTACTAAATTCAATATTAGTCTAAAAGGTGTCGGCAAATTCTAAAACTCTATTGCAAGGTCCCTTCTGACAAACCCAGCAAGTACAAATAATCAAGCACAGAATAATTAAGCGTGTAATGTTAAATGTAACCACAGTATTCAAAGAATCAATCTTATGGATTACACTATATTGCCAAAAGTATGTGGACACCTAACCATCACACCCATGTGTATATATTAAACCATGGGCATTAATATTGTGTTGGTACCTCCTTTGCGGCTAAAACAGTCTCCACTCTTCTGGGAAGGCTTTCCACTAGATTTTGGAGCGTGGCTGTGGGGATTTGTGTTCATTCAGCTACAGGAGCATTAGTGAGATCAGGCACTGATGTTGGTGAGGAGGTCTGGGGTGCAGTCGGTGTTCCAGTTCATCCCAAAGGTGTTCAGTGGGGTTGAGGTCAGGGCTCTGTGCAGGACACTCGAGTTCTTCCACTCCAACCTTCATAAATTATGTCTTCATGGACCTCGCTTTGTTTACAGGGGCATTGTCATGCTGGAACAGGTTTGGGCTAGAAACCTTAGTACCAATGAAGGGGAATCTTCAGAATATAAAGACATTCTATACAATTGTGTGCTTCCAACTTTGTGGCAACAGTCTGGGGAAGAACCACATATGGGTGTGATGGTCAGGTGCACATACTTTTTGGCAATATAGCGTATTTTGTTACTGTTATATCACAGTTATGGAACAGCCTTCCAATTACTGTTTGGGACTCAGACAGTGTTTAAGTGTTCAAGTCTAGGCTGAAAACATATTTGTTTAGTCAAGCCTTTTGTGAATAGATTTTTCATAGGTAAAGAAGCAGATCTGGAGGGTTCAGGGCTATTAGAGTGTTATGGTGAATGGGATGTTTGGATGCTGTCGTGCCCCATTCTCACGCATTATGTCCCAGGGCGCCCTCATGTCTGTGTTACCTTCTGGCTCCCCCTTTGAGTTATGCTGTCATAGCTGGCCTTGCTGGAGTCCTTGCTCGCACTCTGCACACAATGTACATTGTCCTTAACCATTACATGACAATAAGCATACCTAATAATCTCTGTTCCTCTATCTCTCCCTCCACCCCCCCATTCTGCTCTCTGGAGCTGCCTGATCCATCCTGATGCTCTACTCTGGAGTACTCATCACTTCACTTGGAAACCACTTGCTGCTGCTGAGGATGGCCCCATATGAACAGCCTGAAGATGCATGAGATTACTGTGGATGGTACCACTTAGAAACCATGAAGATGGCTTTGGACTGCAGTTGATACAAACAGTTTTGCTATGATAGCTTTAGGACTGCAATTTCCCACGAACAGTTTAGTACTCAAGTCTCCATCAGTGACCAGTTCAATAACTTCAACAAAACAGACTTCATATGAAAACTATAATGAATTTCCTGGTTACACAATTGCACTTTTTGACCATATAGTATACAGTTATAAAAGGGATTTATTTATAATTGCACTATCCGGTGTCACCCAGATGAGGATGGGATCCCTTTTGAGTCTGGTTCCTCTCAACGTTTCTTCTTCATATCGTGTCAGGGAGTTTTTCCTCACCACCGTCGTCTCTGGCTTGCTCATTAGGGATAAATTTATAAATTTAAAATTTATATCCTGAATTTATATATTTCTGTACAGCTGCTTTGTGACAATGTCCATTGTTAAAAGTGCTATACAAAATAAAAATAGAATTGAATTGAGTCTCACAGCTCTTATAACTCTGATTTCATCCTGTGTTCTCCCTGTGTCCGGACAGGTTTCCTCTGGGTTCTCCAGTCTCCTACCACCTCTCAAATACAGTAGTAGGATTGTCCACACTAATTTCCCCCTTGGGTGTGAACGAGTGTGTGAACGGTGCCCTGTGATGGACTGGAGTCCCATTCAGGGTGTATTCCCACCTCACGCCCAATGATCCTGGGATAGAATCTGGATTCACAACAATCCTGACCCTAAAGCAGTTACTGAAGTTTAATGAATGAATGAATGAATGTTCAGTTGTATTACTGAATTATATTTGAGATCATCCCTCAAAGCTTTTAAATTGGTGAAAGTACTGAGCCCCAAAATTGTTTTCTTTGGATACATCAGGTTATAAATTGGTGAGAATAAGTCAGTGAGAGGCAAATATGCATTTCATAAGTGCCGCAAATTCATTTAGCAGCCTCTCCATTTCCCACTGGCATCAGTCTGCCAAAACAAAGTGTCTGTCAGTGCAGAGGCTCAATCTCTGCATTTCTACTGTTCATAACCTCAAACTGTTTAGTATTCAGAGCAGCCTGCGTTCATGATTCAACTGTTTTGCCTTCAATCAAAAAGTGAAATGTGTTCTCTCTGACCCCTGTTTCAATATCCATTCATAAGGGTCTTGCTCCCTGGCAGTGTGAATATTAGCCACTTATCCCCAAAGCTAGAGGCTAGCAAACCAGGCCAGTGCTATCTCTCAGAGTTGTGCCTGACTCCTGTTTGCAATCTCTATAAAAGAATCTCAGCCACAGCCTCTTCCATCACATTGCTGGCTTCAGACTGCCAGTTGTGGCGACTCTGCAGGGTGATTTTATTGACAGTTATGAGGTTTGATGGTTAATAATCCTGGTATGCTTAGAGTTTCTAAACAGATCCAAACATGATCATGGTCCTCCCACTGCTCTTTATTTGTCATATTGCAGAATTGTGCACCCAACCAGAACACATTTTCCTTTCAGTCCGGATTATTTATTACACCTTTTCTCTTCATGAACACAAGCACAGTTGCTACATAATGTAGAGCATGTAGCATACTTTTAGTTAAATTTCCACTAACAGGCTTTGAATGAACAAAAGCTAAACCTCTCTCCGATAGCTTGTGTTTTGTATTTTTGGAAAGTAGAATGTGTGAGGTTTACTAAAGTATCCCAAAATGTCAACGAACAGCTATCCTTCATTTATGTATAATTTATAAGTGTACTAAGAAATATCTACCTAAAATGTTACTTTTT